GCCCGGGCACCCAGCCGAGCCCCCTCCCGTGGGCAAGCAGCTGGCAGACGGGGCCTGCTGGCATCTTCCCATGCCAGGCAGGGGGGAGGCAGAGCCAGAAAACCCTGCGCAGGGAGCCAGGGAGATGACGGTGACATTTGTGCTGGTCGCAGGGACAATTGCCGTATGGCATGTGCAGCTCGGGGCTCCCTGAGGACTCACATTCTCCCAGTGGGCACCGGCACAGTGGGGCCAGGGGGGCTCATAACGGCCCCCTTTGTGTGGGTGGTGGGAGGAGAGGTGAAGCTTTGACGTCAGCCCGGGAGGAATTCCTTAATGCCATTCAGGCCTCCCTCGCCCGCGTTGCTAATTGCATTTTATGTAATAGCTGCAGCTGAGCTCCCAGTCCGCTATTGAGAGAGGGATAAGACAGAGTGACAGGGGCGGCGGGGGCCCGGGCAGCGCCGGTGGCTGTGAGGCACGCCGAGCTGGTGCCACTGGCCACGGGGACCCTCATGGCCTCCTGGGGCTTGGCCTCCCCTTCCCCAGAGTAAGGAGCAGCGGGAAAAGACAGAGATGGGTCGGAGGGTTTCCGCAGGAATGAGGGCCACTAATGCTGCAGCACAGCCAGAGGAGCGCATCCCTCCGCAGGGTTTGCCTTTGCTGCCCGTTTTGGGGCTGGTTTGCAGCATTGCAATCGCACCATCGGTGCCACATGAAGGCCCCCTGGGGTGCCCGGGCATCGTGGCGTGGGGCAAGGGGTGGCCTGGCAGCACTGGCCCCCTTCCACTGCCTCATGTGTGTGATCGCCCATCACCGCAGCGAGCTTGGAAGACGTAATAATAATAAATTGTTTTGGTATCTAAGGGGTAATTGCACTTAATGGAGACGAACAAGGCAGTGATTTATCTCGCTAGCGTTACACCATCGGGTTTGCAGCTGCACGAGCCTCAGATGATAAAATAATGTATTTGCTGCCCTCTGCTCTGCTGGTGGATATCCTAAATATCCCCACAGCCTCCCCATTGCTCCGGGGACCTCCCTGTGTGCCCAGGGAGAGGAGCACCAAGAGCTGGAGGCTGCTCCCTCGTGCAGGCAGCCAGAAGCGCTCGCCTCCATTTTGGGGTGCCGTTGGCATTGCCTCACCCCTTGCTTGCCCCCCTCACCCCGCTGCAAGCCCTGGCATGGAGACCCTCACCCGGGCACCCGCCGGGACCACCGACCCGGGCACACCGTGGGGGTGCAACACAGAGGGGGAGTTTTCCCAAGGAGGAGGAGGAGGAAGGGAGGGTGAGGGGGAATGTTGGCAATCATCAATGGGAAAGACGGCGGGACCCCAGACGTCCCCTCCTCCCCACCAGCGTGGCCAAGCTTAGGTCGTAAAAAGAAAGAGCTGGTACCAAGGATAACATGCTTCGCATTCCT